GACTCACTAGCTACCATGTCATCTATGTTCAAATCAGATGGGATGATAAAGCTCCTCAAATTACTATTGAGAGACTAGACGAACCAGCACATTGCTACAAAGTTGATATTGATGGAGTAGGGTAAAAGCCTTCGTACCACGAAGTAAAAAGATACCTCGAAACTCAAGAATATCTTGAAGGGGCATCTATCAATGATAAGAAATTTCTAAGGAGGTTCTCTGCCAAATTCTTTCTGAGTAACGAAATCTTATACAAACGCAACCACAATTCGACTTTGCTTCATTGTATAGATAAGAAGGAAGCTGAGAAAATTATGGAAGATATGCATGAAGGTGTATTTGGTACTCACTCTAGTGGACATACAATGGCTAAGAAGATTGTGAGAGCAGGTTATTATTGGTCTACCATGGAAACCGATTGCCATTGTCATTCCAGAACTTGCCATAAATTCCATATTTATACTGACAAAGTACATGTGCCTCTGGTTCCTTTGAATGTATTGACTGTTCCTTGGCCATTTTCAATGTGGGGCATTGATATGATTGGAGAGATTAAGCCTACTGCTTTCAATGGGCATCGTTTCATCCTTATCGCTATTGATTACTTCATGAAGTGGGTAGAGGTAGCCTCTTTTGTTTCTATTACCAAGAATATTGTGACTCGATTCATTAGGTATAACCTTATCTATCGATATAACATCCCTGAAAGGATCATCACAGACAGTGGTACCAATCTTAACAATATTATGATCAAGAAACTCTACATGCAATTCAAGATTAAACATCATAATTCTTCTATGTATCGACCAAAGATGAATGGTGCGGTGGAAGCCGCCAACAAGAATATCAAGATAATCTTGCAGAAGATGATGACATACAAAGATTGGCATGAGATCTTACCATTTTCTCCACATGGTTATCGCACTTCAGTATGTACATCAACTGGAGCAACCCCGTTCTCTCTAGTCTATGGTATGGAGGTTGTCTTACCTCTTGAAGTTCAGATTCCTTCCCTAAGGATTATGAAAGACGTGGGATTATATGAAGACGAATGGATTCAGACTTGACTTGACCAGATGAATTTTATTGATGAAAAAAGGCTTGCGGCTGTTTTTCATGGTCAGATGTATCAGAAATGCATGATCAATTCCTTTAACAAGAAATTCAAACATCAGGTGTACCAAGCTGGTTATTTGGTAATAAAGCACATCATCCTACCACAAGGTGATCCCAGGGGAAATTGGACTCCTACAAATGAAGGGCCATTTGTGGTCAAAAATATTTTTTTGGCGGTGCTATGATACTTACCACCATGGGCGGTGAATATTTTCCGCACCCTATGAACGCGAACATAGTAAAAAAATACTACACATAAAAGAGACCTGCTAGGTTGACAGGCCTAGGAAAAAAAAGGGCATCTCAGCGAACCAAAATGGTTCGGGCAAAAATTAGGGATATATAAAAAATTGTACATCCGGCAAGTCGAAAACCTGAAATGGTGGCTTGGGAAAAAAAGGATATCCCGATGGACTGAAAACCCGAAAGGGTGATCTAGGAAAAAGTTAGTGATTAAAGCGTACGATTATATCCTATTGTATTACCCATCTACTTACAACCAGATTCATTACTAGCGTCAAGTTCAAACAGTATAAATTGATTCAATCATCTTCTTCCAATGAGATACTTAAAGACATAGGGGCAATAGCAGAGTTAAAACTCGATGGGATCGTTTCCACATAATTGTTTTTCTTTGTTTATTACTTTGTACCCCTTTTTCAATTTTTACGATGATTTCCTCTTACTAAGATTTATGTCTCCTGGTATAAAACGTCTTGCTTATAGGATAACTTTCAGAATCAATTAAATATATTTCAAAATTCAAAATTCAAAATTGTTTGCAAAAACGTCCAATGATTATGTTGAATGAACATATGCATTTTAATATGATTAATGTTTACAAAATATATGCATGAAAACAGGATTAGCATTTATTAAAGACCCTAGGAGTTGGGATAATGTTCCAGTTATCCATAAATTCCCACAAAGCAATCTCTACGGAACTATCTCTACAGAGATATCTTCACAAGCTCAGCCTCAATGGAGATATATTCCCCAGCAAATATAATATGCCTTCAGACATAAACTGGGGCATCTTCCAGTAGTTCACCTCCATATCCCTGATGGATAGCTTGACATGATCATCTTCCCCAATAGGTCCCCTAGAAGATAAGGAAGTTTGAACATTTCCCCAGCATACGATGGAAACTTCCTCAGTGCAGCCTATGAATTTCCAATCCCCGTAAGAGATTATTTCCTCAACGCAATCTACAAGATTTAATTCCCCAACGAAGTTTATTTCTCTAATACTGAAAATTCCCCGACATAATTCTCTTCTCCAGCTGAAACAATCGGCTAAAAATTATCAGTCAATAAAGTCTCCATTGAACGTCTTTTATCCCATATGAAGGGAGGTAAACATCGAGAAAACCTGAGAAGGGAGAAGTAACGGTCTTGCAACCAAGAGATCGGGTAAGGGAGCCTGTTATGTGAGGGGAAGGTATTAGTACACCACACGCCCGTAGTACTCTACGGTACCCACTCTTGTTGTTCTAATCAAAGGGCGTGTTTAATCTATGCTTACTGGTTATTACTAAGGAAGAATGCATGCAAAATAAATGAGAAAATAATGTATGGAAAATAAAGGTATGCTCGCTTGACCCATACCCCAATGCATACGTATCCTTTTTGAGGAATCAGAGTTACTGTAATTCGGCTCACATGTTTTGTTTGTTTGTGTTTTTTATGAACAATGTTAATTCCGCCTTCTACAATAGCTCGACCTTTGGAGACTCACGCATTGGCAGAGAAGTAAATTAATCATGTCCTTACTTGAAAAATGTTTTGAGCTAAGCCCTAAAGGAAATATGCCACATTTGGTTGGTTTGTGTTTTGTTACCTTGAAAAAGGGTTTAAGTATGATTAGATAGTGTTTTATTATTTGCTAAAAAAAGGAAGTTTTAGTTTTGAATGCAAGGATGCAAAAAGGGAGAAAACAACTAAGAGAGATTTGCCTAACATTACCCCTAATGTTATCATACAATGGTGGCCCTACGTCAAGGATGAAAGGGAAATTTCTACCTAATGTTAGCATGCGTGGCTTGCAACCTAAGGTCTAACTTGCATTCGAAAGGAACAAGTACATCCTAAGGGAATATGGTATGTACAAGAATAAAACAAACAAGCTCGAAAGATCACACACATAAAATAGTAAGTAAAAGAAGTGAAATGCTTTAGCCAAGGGGAGTGTATCACACGAGACAAACAAGCGGGAGTGAGATGTAAAACAAAAATGTCATGTCCAAAGCGACTGAATACCTAACCAAGCTATAAGAGATCGAGGTAGACGAAAAAAGGCAATATGAATAATCATAGACTATCAGCATCAACCAATGCAAACTCCTAATAAAGCGTGGGGGTTCGATTGCATAACCCTTCTCCACTTAATGAATCGATAATAAAAGAAGGCACAACTCTGAAGCTTTATGGTGCGTCACGAGCTAAGGATGACACAGACGAAATTGTGGGGGTTGATTGCGAACTCTCCATGCTCGCCTCTTTTTGAGGACTTATCTTATGTATATATGCAGGCACAAATATAAACACGCCTGCAGAATACCTACACAAAGGTAATGTTTTAAAAAAATCATACACAAGTAGCACACAATGGCAAACAATGCAAAATTGCCCTAAACGGGTCTTTAAATAAACCAGAGGGGTTCCTGACATGATCAGAAATGGAGATCCCCGTCATACATTTCTATTCCTACTTCTCATGGCATCAGAAAGTAGTAAATCCCTACTTCTCATGATCTCTAGAAAAGTAGTAAAGAAATGTTGTAAAGTGTGGGGAAATACAAAAGTAGTAGTGGCGACTACCACAAGCAAGCCAATTGTTGAAAGCAGACGAAAGCAATGGAGAAGTAGGGAGTACACGTCGAGCAAGCTTCACCAAGAAACAAACAAAGTCATAAATAATATCCAACTAAGATAAAAGCAAATGTGTGTTGCAAATGCAATGCGTAATCAGGAGTTCCTGCACAAAGCATCATGAGATATCACATGCATCAGGACAACATATAATATGATATGAATTTCTAAGGACAATGAGAAATAAGGCGAATTGCATCGGAAGCGAGCATAAGCCATATGCTTTGATCACATAACTACTTGTTATGTTACATGATCGAAAGCATAAAAAATGTACCTTTCACAATTAACAAACATGTCAGAAATAACACTACACGAAGATATGAAAATATGAATAAAAACTAAAAGAAAAAAGTATTTTTTATTAGTCTTTTTATGTGTGAAAATATTCCACTAAAAAAATTAGAGAATTAATTCCCAAAATCGATTAAGAGAAACTAATAAATTTTATTGATCTTTTCCATTTCTATCATAAATTTTTCTTCCTAATATTATTGTCTAGAAATTAGAAAAAGAAGATTAGAGAAAAATCTAAACAAACTCTAAATAGAGGGGGGTATATGGACTGATCAGATATGCTGCAAGCAAATTCAGAATGAGGCAATAAGCCCAGTCAAGAAATGAATCCAATAGCTATTTTTGTGTATGATCCAAGGATTACCAAACACGTGATGATGGGCCTGAAGATGAGAAATTTTCGATCCACCCTTTGAACATCATTAATCCAATTTCAGCATGATTATTATTTATTAATACCATGACTAAAAAAACTAATCAGCATCATTATACTAATTATTAACAAAATTAATTAAAGAGATAATGAAAAGAAGTGAAACAATGCATTTCAGGGGAGACTAGGGTTCAAGTTGTGTGACCATTGGCCTTCCCTAACAGAGATCTCTTCTTCCTCTCCCAACTTGCGATTTCCGTTTAGCTTCTCCGTCGTACCGGAAATCGCCTTTGGCGGTGGCAGGGGTCGAAACAAGCTCAATCATAGACTAATTAAATCGCCTTCATCTTCTCCTCTCAAATCTACTCCTCAAATTCCCATATTCTAAATCGCACTGCATAAATTTCATAATGTTTAATATCCCTAGAAATCTCCACGGTGGAGAAAGAGACTCTGAGGCCCGGCGAGTATGAAGATGCAGGTAAGTTCTTCGGTTCTTCCAATCTTTGTTTCTTCTTACTCTTTTTTGCATCTAGTCTTCGCGTATGTATGTTGCGATGAAGATTAAAGAACTGCTGCAATTGTTTATTAAGAAATGAAGAGATGCGATATGATGTGCAACGGTGATGAAGACGCAGATGTTAATGGCATGGAATCGATGAAGATCAGAGAATGTGAAGTGTGATAGAGACGGAAGCCAATTGTGTGATCTGTTGCGGAGAGGAGTTATTGAATCTTGAAGTTCAGCGAGGTTGTCAATGTGGCATTGATGAAGGTGGTAAATTAACGAGGGTGATCGAAGGTGAAGGGATTCTGGTGAGGCAGATGGTGATGATGAAGTTGTATCGAGAAAATGGAACAGAGAGAGAAAGCTTTAATTGAAGAAGATTCTTGAGGTGAGTTTTTATGATTGGTAAATAATGAATCTTTTGCTAGTTTTTCTTTGTGTGAATGAATAACTAATCGCGAATCACTTCTCCCTCTCCCCTTTCTGTTATCTTCTGTTATAAGTTTTTTAGAAAACAGTTAGGGGTTATGGAATATGTTGGCTATTAGTTATGGTTGTGAAATTCTGTTAGGAATGATTGTTGAATTCTGTTATGGACGGTTAGAGGCAGTTAGGAAATTGGAGCTGTTTAGTTTCGGTGATTAAGTTATTTTCAGTTTTCTGTTCTGATTTAATTCCTTTTTCTGGTATTCTACGAGTCGTGATTTAATTTACTTCTACTTTGACTAGAGCCTGGTATTCTGTTTCTGATTATGAGGTTGATCTAATATTTTAACTGGTGCAAGGCCATTTATTGTAGATCTTGAATTGTCAGCAGGCTTGTAGACAATATGTATGTATTGGCATTTTCAGACTATACTGATATGAGTATAACTTTTCTTGACAATGTGTTTGGATTGGAATTTATGCATGTCGATCTTGTTTATCGCTATTGGTGATGAATGACAGCTTTAGGCAGGGCATGGAGAATGTGGGAAACACGAAGATTTATCAAGATTGGTCGTGGATTATTTGAGAGCATCACGGAATGGTGAAGACAAAAGATGGAATCGAAGCTAGGGAATTAGGCTTATGCTATTTTTGTAACCATTTCTATGTAATTTTGAGACATTATATGATATATTGATGATTTTGGAATGGAATTAATTTATTAGAAATGGTGTAATGGTAGCGGTTTTGTAAATGTAGTGACTTTTCAAAGTAGTTTTGAGTTCCCTCCTTTTCTCTCAATTTCTTAATTAGAAGTTTCAATCTTGCAATGTGAAAGAATGACATAAGATAACTTTTGAAAGCATAAGTAACACGATACATTTTATAACACTCGTAAATAATGCTTCTCGTATTAATGTCACTTGGATCTCGAACCCTCCTTGATGTAATGTCCTTGAGATGGAAACTTGCAAATGAATACTTGAAGGATATTGACATGTTTATAAAATAGATAATGCCCCGCTTGATTCTTGGTGATGAACCAAATCATGAACTAATTTCTTCCAATATTCGAATCAAAATCATATTTCTCCAAGGATTCAAAATTCATGTTATCTTGCAATCACTCCTCCAACTTGTTCAATTTGTACCAAAATAACCACCTGTATGATAAATGACCAACTTTAAACATGTCTTGTAATTTTGATACTAACATGAATGTTGTCGGCTGAAACTTTTGATGACCTTATAAAGAAGAATGATATTACATGATTTTGAAAATGACAACTTGAACCGCGTCTTGGATGACTTTGTCTTCAAACCTCAAGCGACAAATAACTTGCAAATTTCTCTGTCCAGAAAATCCCATAAGCTCAATATCTCGTGTCATGGCCAAAAGTTTTGGTAATTCAAACCTCATGACAACTTATCTTGCAAACCAATAACCTTAACACAAGGCTAATGCCCACAAAGGACTCCTTTGATAAGTCTTGAAGCTCATAATAATACCCTGGACATGAAATCTCTCCTCAAAAGAGGAAGTGGTGAAACCCTAGAAATCTTGCCTTGAAATTCTTATAAAAGAAGAATGACTTGAGGTATAAAAGAAGAAGGCCCAAGACACCTTTAAAACCCTAATCTTCATCTTTTTCTTTTTAGTTAAAATAACCCTGCAAAAGAAATGAGCCCCTGCTAACATTGTGAAACCCTAATTTTGTGACCCCTTAACTCCAAAGACTAAGCCTTGATGAAATTGGATGGAGAAGACTTTGCATCTTGATGCAGAAGAAGTCTACAAACACTGAACCAAAACCCCAATTCCACAGTCCAATCTTCAAGGAAGAACCAGATGAACCAGTTTTATTTGACATGTACACCTCAAACCAAGCTAGAACCCTAATTTACAAAGTCCTTGATCCAAATGCCAAGTTTTATATTGTTAATGAATGTAAGATGTTGTTAAATGACCTAATGGAAAGCATGCAGATGAAATGAGAAATGAAAAACACATAAACCAGATAAAAATGAAAGGGTAGGACAAATTTAGGGTATTATAGCTGCCCATATTTAATCGCCTTAAACTTGAAAGTATGATTGGCGCGTGCCTTCTGGAAGTTCGAGGTAGAAGATGATTAAATATCAATGCCAAAAATTTGTTCTAAAAGAAAGTGTGATTGTTTATTTATCTTTTTATGGTATTTGCTGGGGGAAGAAATCTGGTGTTTTTGGTGAGAGATTTAAGGGTAGCTTTTAACATAGTGACGGTGCTAATACAAGAAAAGGTAATGACTTATAACGTGGCATGATGTCAATACAAGGAAGAGATTGGACTTGTAACGTAGCATGATACCAATACAAGGAAGAGATCGGACTTGTAATGTAGCATGATACCAATACAAGACAAAGATCGGACTTATAACGTAGCGTGATGCCAATACAAGGAAGAGATCAGACTTGTAACGTAGCAAGGTGCCAATAAAAGACAAAGATCATACTTGTAATTTAGCGTGATGCCAATACAAGGAAGATTTCGTACTTGTAACATAGCGTGATGCCAATACAAGACAAATATTGGAATTGTAACATAGCGTGATGCCAATACAAGGAAAAGATCGGACTTGTAACATAGCGTGATGCCAATACAAGGAAGAGATCAAACTTGTAACGTAGCGTGATGCCAATACAAGGAAGACACCAGACTTGTAACGTAGTGTGATGCCAATACAAGACAAAGATCGGACTTGTAATGTAGCATGATGCCAATACAAGGAAGAGATCAAACTTGTAATGTAGTGTGATGCCAATACAAGGAAGAGATTGGACTTGTAATGTAGCGTAATTCCAATACAAGGAAGAGATCGGACTTATAACATAGCATCATGCCAATACAAGGAAGAGATCAGACTTGTAACATAGCGTGATACCAATACAAAGAAGAGATTAGACTTGTAACATAGCATGATGCCAATACAAGGAAGAGATCAGACTTGTAACGTAGCGTAATTCCAATACAAGGAACAAATCGGACTTGTAATGTAGCGTGATGCCAATACAAGGAAGAGATCAGACATGTAACGTAGTGTGATGCCAATACAAGACAAAGATCGGACTTATAACGTAGCATGATGCCAATACAAGGAAAGTATCAGACTTGTAACGTATCATGATGCCAATACAAGATAAAGATTTGTCTTGTAACGTAGCATAATGCCAATACAAGACAAAGATCAGACTTGTAATGTAGCGTGATGCCAATACAAGGAAGAGGTCGGACTTGTAACGTAGCGTGATGCTTATACAAGGAAGAGATCAGACTTGTAACGTAGCACAATTCCAATACAAGGAAGATATCAGACTTGTAACATAGTGTTATGCTAATACAAGGAAGAGATCGGACTTGTAATGTAGCATGATGCCAATACAAGTAAGACACTGGACTTATAACATAGCGTGATGTCAATACAAGGAAGAGATTGGACTTGTAACATAGTGTGATGCCAATGCAAGGAAGAGGTCGACCTTGTAATGTACTGTGATGCCAATACAAGACAAATATCAGACTTGTAATGTAGCATGATGCCAATACAAGGAAAGTGTAACACGGACGAGTGTTTGAATCAATACGGACGAGTATCGAAAGAAGATAGGAACGAGTATCAAGAAAATATTACACAGATATCTTCGAAAGCCTGAAAGTCCAAGTTATCCCAGAATAGTTGAGCTTGATCTATCAGAAACTTGGCTAAGAAACCTTCAACCCTGCTTCGTGTCTCCCAGTTGGATACTACATCAGCCCTTGTCAGATGCAGAGCTGAAGCAATGTCTTCTGGCCTAGGAGTCTCTTCCAAACCTGTGAAAGGCATCTGCTCAAGGATGGATATGCCCAGTAAGTGAGAAAACTCTTCCAAAGTGGGAACTAGCTGATAATCCGGGAAAGTGAAGTAATGATGCACCGGGTCAAAGAACTGGAAAAGCACACTCATCATCTGCTCATCAAACTTTGAGGTAACCAAGATAAGAAGCTGACTATGTCTCCTAATGAATGAAGAAGTATCAGAAAACTTTGAGACTAACTCTTTGAGTTAAGTAGGTATTTGCACAAATTTAACTCGGATGGTGTTTCTGCGCATGGAAGCCATAATCTGCAAAATAGAACAAAGATATATCCCCTCGGTCTTTGAAATGGTTAGTATAATGAAGTATGCATGCTATGTTATGACGCATGATGTCATGGTAAAACAAATAACAGGTATAGCAAATAACAAACATGGTAAAGGAAAACAAGTCACACAAAAGCCCTTAAGTTTCAGGCTTGCATGGGGTCTAGGTACTACCCTCTTGAAGTTCAGTTGGTTTCAACCTGTCCTAATAATAGTAACTGGGTTCTAGAGGTTCTCAATATCACTGACCATCCTCCATCGGTCATGGTTTCAGCTCACGCAATCTTTTCTTGCGGCCGGAACTATCTCGAGAGTATGGTCTCAATGAGTGTAGTATCGAGTATCAACCAGTTCTCAGCTTTACACTGAGGCCGGCTATCTCACTACTTCTTATGGCCAAGTTGGTCAATTATAGGTTCTAAGGTCAGTTGATGC